CAAGAACAGATGTCTATCTTTTTTAAATTAGATCGGCAACGTTCATTGGCATTTCTTGTATTTGTGTATTATAGAATTGTTCTATATCTCGTAATGTTCGTCGATCATCATCTGTAACAAAATTGATTGCTACACCTTTTCGACCGAATCGACCACCACGACCAATTCTTAAAAATAAAACAGTAAAAATTCAATTATAATTTTAATAAATTTTATCTTACCGATGAATATAATTTTCACGATTATTTGGTAAATCATAATTAATAACAAGACTAACTTGTTGCACATCAATACCACGTGCAAGTAAATCAGTTGTAATCAATACACGACTAGAACCTGTTCGAAATTCTTTCATGATAACATCACGTTCTTTTTGGTCCATATCACCATGCTAAAATAAGGAAAGAAAGATTTTTTTTTTTGTTCATCAATATTTGTTCACTCTAATTATTTTTATTTAAGAAAGAATGACTTTACGATTGATTTATTTAATATTTGGCCAAGTCCAGTACATTATATTTAAGGAAAATAGACAAATATATGTTTGGTAATATTGGCCACAGTTAGGAAAAAAACAAACAATGGTATTTTTGTTTCGTCTTTAAACTTACCATTGCTGATACAGTAAAGTCTCGTGAACGCATTTTTTCTGTTAGCCAATCAACTTTTCGACGTGTATTGCAAAAAATAACAGCTTGTGTGATTGTTAATGTTTCATATAAATCACAAAGTGTATCTAATTTCCATTCCTAAATAAAAAAACAAAAAAAAAAGTTAAATATAAATAGATATGACTATTTTTTCTTACCTCACGTTCAACAGTAACATAAAATTGTCGAATACCTTCAAGTGTTAATTCTTCTTTTTTAACAAGAATTTTAATTGGATCATTCATAAATTTAGTTGTTACTTCCAGTACATCGCCAGGCATTGTAGCTGACAGAAGAATAACCTGAATATTTTGTGGCATTGTCGTGAATACATCGTAAATTTGTTCTTTAAAACCACGTGATAACATTTCATCAGCTTCATCTAATACGAACATTTTGATATTTTTGCTACCTAATTATAATATTTATGAGAAATATATAAAGATCAACAAAAAGAAACATCCGAATACATACGAAGAGCTGATCGATTAAGCATATCATAGACACGTCCTGGTGTACCCACAACAATTTGAACACCTGTCTCAAGTCGTTTTATATCATCACGAACATTTGTACCACCAATGCAAGCATGACATGTTACACCCATATAATCACCGAGGGCTAAGACTACTTTTTGAATCTATATTATAAATAAAAATAAAAATGAACAAATCAAACTCAAGTACAGTTTATGATCATCAATATTACTTGTTGAGCCAATTCTCGAGTGGGTGCTAAAATTAAAGCTTGGCAATCTTTGAAATCTGGATCAAGTTGTTGTAATATTGAAATGGCAAATGTTGCCGTTTTGCCTGTACCCGATTGTGCTTGAGCAATGACATCGTGACCTAAAATGATAAAGAATATCAATCAGAAAAAAAAAGAATGACTTCTTATTAAACTAACCCAAAATACAAGGTTTAATAGCACGTTGTTGAATAGCAGAAGGTCGTTCGAAACCATAACCATAAATACCACGTAAAAGTGCTTCACGTAAGTTCATCTGATCAAATTGTTCGACCACTTCAGTCCAATTGCTCTCGATCGTTCCATCTAAATATTCGATCTAATTTTTGATTATAATTTTTTTTTGCTCTACTTACCAGGTTCCATTGACGGAACACCTGTGCTCGAGTTCTGGTTGGTGTCATTCCTAGAAAAGAAAAAAAAGATAAAACATAGTAATTTATTATCAACTGTCTTCTAATTGGTTTTTTCGATAATAAATTAAAAACTTAATAGACGTACTTGTCCTTAGACATTTTGTTTGATTGGTGACATAATCTAAAATCGAAAAGATACAAAAAAAAGTTAATTAATATTTGTTTAAAAAAAGTAATTAGGCAATATAGATGCACGGAGATACACGTTTCGAGAGTCAAGCAAGCGTTTGGGCAAGATGGCGGATTAGTAAGTTATGTCTCTGTTAAAATATAGACCGGCTACTTCACATCAATAGAGAGGTCAGATACAAATCGAAATTTTTTCTTTGTTCGGAAAACTTAATTTCCAGGTTTTTTTTTCATATTATATATTACAATAATGATTTTACTGTTTCACAATTTATTTTAAATTTTATTCGATTGTCGCTCATAGACAAAGAAAAATAAAATAGTAATGCATTTGATATCGATACAATGTACAAGTTAGAAAGATAATATATATTGCTTAGCAACGTGAATAAATAACGAATAAACATGATTGATTTTACCTAGAAAATCATAATTGAAAAACAAAAATATTTAGTAATATTTATTTTTTTTAGATGAAAATTGATTGAATTGAAAAAGAAACGTTTTTTATATTGGGTATTTATTGGCATGGAATTTCGACTTAAGACAAAAGCAATTTATGGGTGACTCAGTTTAGAAGAAGAGAAGAAAAATAATTCAATAAGTTTCATGAGAAAAGTCACAGTGGTATTGGGTGTTCATATAGCAGATGTTCTACTATGAATATAGAGAACCATTGTAACCGATATTTTCCGAAGGGGGAAGTGCTTTTTCAGTGTCATCGTCCAAACTCACTCTTATGCGGTGCTCTACCATCTAGCAAAACTGAAAAAAAAAACTTACCTTTTCTTCTCAGAAAATATTAGTTAGAATATACTTCTGCATTCGTCGTGAAACACGAGCTATATGAATACCTGAAACTTTGCATAGAAATAGGCTTTAACAAGAATAGTGTTAAATTTTGTGTTTTGTTTCTATCTTGAAGTAAGAACATCAAATCTGCTGGTTAATATGGGTGATATAAAAGATTCGTTATTACCAAAGTTTTTTGTTAGGATAGGAACAACGAAAAGACCTGAAATATTCATAATAGACTACTTTCATAAGGATCTGTCTCTATGCAAAGTTTTCAGTCAAAATTCGAAGATCAATTCTTGAGATAAATCACGATATTCATTTGAAAGTTACTGTAAAATTTTCATATCTCGGAAGCAATTAAGAATTAAGCGTCTGTATTATTTTCAGGATATTCATAGCTCATTTAGTTCTACATAATAGACAGAATCTCGACTCAAAAACAATTGAACAGTTGAAAGACTTCTCCTGCAAGTCAATCCTATGACGTGTTCGATTCCATCGAAACTGTCAAATTTATTGAAATTCTTTGCATAATTATTTATAATTGATAGTTTGTCTTTGGAAAAACTGTATCGATTTTAAATGTCATATTTAATTAGTTCGAATAGTAAACTCTGTGTATAATCAGGATTGCCACCTCTTTCGCTTTTTCTGATAAAAAACTTTCATTTGATTGTTCACAATTCGACATAGAAAAAACCTGTTATTGTTCAATAAATCGTGATCTCTGAAGTGTATAGTCAATCATCACAGTTATTAGTCAATTTGTTAACTCACTGGAACAACATTAATTTTTTGTCATGAACGCGACACTGCTTTCAACTTCTATTGACGAAGTAAACAGGCCATTCTACTTTCAACTAATAGCTAACTCTATGGATTCATTTGTTTCTCTCTTCTTTATTGACACAGAAAAAAGGCACAAATCCGAAAATTTAAACGACTTTTTTTTTGTAACAAATGTATAACGAGATAATAACGAAGGATGGATACTGATGAAAATCAAAAACAGCACCAATAATGCTACAATCAGATGAACATAAAACTGTAGAAACCACAAAGGGTGCTTGCGGATCTAAGAATTATCTTCATTCACATCGACATCTACATCATAAAACTATACAAAATTCAAAAAGCCAGCAAAAATATAAGTTTCCGCATTTTCGACTTCATGAGGTGGCAACCCTGTGTATAATGTACAAATAATTTGAAGATCATTCTTGCAAACGATATTGTAAAATATAGTATTCTCTTGAAAATATCGAGGCGACTTATTATTTTATTCTGATTTTTCTAGCTAAAGTACTACAATCTTTCATTAAATTATTAGCCTCTTCTAGAATTATATATTGAAATTTCTTACAATAAATAGATGCTTGATATGAACAATATCTTTAAGTGATATTGAAGTAGATTGTTCTAATATGAAAATGATTTGTATCTATATGAATGGAACGTATTTTTCGTTTTCCTTTAATGTTTACATCAGAATTAATAACGAATGTGTGTAGTCTCTCAATAACTTGACAATGGCAATAACTACCGATCTATGATTTTTAGCAATCGACGGAGAAGAACTTCGAACGTTTTTTTGTTTGATAATATATAAAAGATAATTATTTTTAAATCCATTGTCGTCGTAAAAAATGCATGAAAACGGTGTTTTGTTTCAATGCAGCGTTGATTGTGACATAGGTTTCAAATAGAGGGAGTTCAGATCTATAGTTCTATCGAAATTTTCATGAAAAGAAACACTGTTTTCATGCATTTTTTTGGAATGTTTTGAGGAGATAATGGGTTTTTAAGTAATTTTGTGCTAAATAGTATCAGAGTAAAAAGACGTCGGAAGTTCTACGCTTCCGACTGTTGAAAACAGTAGGCCACTGCTTGTTGCCATTGTCGAGTTATGGACATTACACCTACCCATCTTTAACTGTGGCGCAGATATTCGTCATATTTCGTATTCTTTTCTGAATGAAGATGACTAAAATAAGAATCTTTAGTATTTTGATCACATTGAAATTCGCTGTTGTGATTAATTTTATTATCAAATAAAATGTTTGTTGTATGTAACAGATACAGAAAAGAAGTTTCATTTTGATGAGGACAAATAGATAAACTAAAATTCTATTTCTATTGGTGTATGAATGAACAAATAGAACTGTGTGTTATCAAACAATGTGCCATTTACGTACGATAGCAACAATCTGTTCAATGGTGAATAAATTCTATTGACAACTTAAGAAATTCGATTGACACGATGTCATTTTTAAAAAGTGCCTTTTCAGTTAAGAAAGCAAAACCAAGAAGACAAGTTTCAAGAAGTTCATTGAAATTATCTGCTGATGAATTGTATCGTGATTTGAATCCAAAATATGACGTAATTGATATAAAATTAGCTGATAAAAGAATTGTTTTTGATACTGAAAATGGTTATTGGAATACAGGTAGGATGAGTCGTTATTATTCTTCTATTAGTGAATAAATCATTTTTTTTTGATTAGTTGGTGCTGAAAGTCTTGGTGAAACAATTTCGAGTAGAAGTGTAGAAAAAATTCGAAAACAGATTGAAATATTACAAGAAGAAAACAATGTGTTAAAACTTAAAGTTGAAATGCTATTAAGTCTTGTTGCTGAATCTATTGCTGAAAAATCATGAAATCGACATTATATCAATTAGAAATTCGATAAATAGAATTCTTTGCTTGTCTTTTATATTGCTCTTCAATTATAGTTTTTTTTAGTTTTTAAAAATAAAATTCCGTGTATCAAATGTTTTATTAAGATTAATAAAATAGACAATAGGATTGCTTGAAATTCAATTTTAAATTCAATGAAACATTGGTTATATTTCAACTGAAAACTAACTAAATGCTCAATGTGTTTAAAAAATTGTTTTTTTTTAACTCTACCATATTCAATCTTTTTGATTCGAATGTGTGTGATTTACACAAAGCTTCCTTCAATAACACTGACGAAGTAAGCATATCATCAAGTTCTTCAACTAAATGTAGATATCAAGTTCGTAAGGTAAATGCTTGAAGTAAGCGATCAAGATTTTTGTTCATTAGAGATCTGAACGCTGTTATAATTTTCTGTATTCGTTTAACACGTTGATAAATTGTTTCATTACTACGATTGTTCATAATAAAGTAACTTCAGATGATTAATGCATGCGGGCATATTATTTCTATCTTATTTTACTATACAAATGTTCGATTTTCTTCGATCGTTGATCGCAATGAACGGTGAAGGATATGATACAGAAATCTGTCTCTTATATATAAATTTGCTGCTCAAACTTAACTTATAGTTAGAGACATATTTTTAACGTTACTCAAGTTCTTAGCAAGTTGTTGAGCTTCATATTGCTTTTCAATTAGTTCTTCTTTTGTTATTCTTTATATTGTTTTCCGAGCTACTCATATTTTCTATTATTTATCTTCGCACGACTTCTATAACTGAACTTCATCACAATTTTGAGATTTGTCCAGGAAGATAGTATAACTTAAGTATTGATGAAAAGTTTTTTCAAATGATATAAAAATGAAAAGTCATCATAGTTTGCTTAATTAGTAACTTGGACCCTTGTTGTAATATTTCTTTGATTAATCGATGATTACTCAACGATAATATGGTCAACTTGTAGGAAATAGTCAACATTGATAACGAGTTTTGTGGTTTTGTAAATGTCAATGATAATATTATTTTTCAGACGATCATCATTTATTGATAGATTGACATTCAATTCACCAATATATTGCATACGTTTATCATAAATTAGCAATTTAGCGATTGATAGAATTGTCCGTTTACGCATGAAAGCAGAGTAATTAATTCTTTGATATATGAGCATAAACTCCGCATCAACAAGAAAATGATTGACTCGTGTGTACATAGATGTAAACTTTTTTTTTCGAAGAACATATCAACTAACAACAAGTATAGTTGGGAACAAAGTTTTAATATTAGTTAAAATCTAATTAAGTTCTAACAGATTCACGACAAAAAGTTCTCATACAATTAGAATTTGGATAAATCTTAGTTGTACGGATTAAGTTAACTTGCTTTAGTCTCGATGCATCATATTTACGAGTCGTAGAATTATCTTTATAGAATGAACCAAAGTAATTCAATCTTTTTCTGATGAGTTTGTAACTTAAATTACAAAAAGTCATTCTACTGAAAATATATTTCATTGAATAGAATGAAAGACAAGTTCAATTCACATTGGTGACACAAAAACATGCGTAACTCGTTTATCTTTAATTTTAATGAATGATAATTTAGAAAATGATTATTTCTTGAATGACTATTCACTATTTTGGAATAACAAGTTCAGTTACATATAGTTCGAATAAATGACGATTCTATTCATTTTATTGTAAGAAAATACAAAAGAATCATGAAGATTATTATAAACTAAGAAATTTCTTTTCTTTTTGAAAGAATTTATCTAGAAAATAAAAGTTATTGAATTTTTTGTCAGTTAAATACACTAATATAAAAAGCACTTTGACAACTTTACATTGAGTATTTTTATTTCTAATAACGGGACAGGAATTATCTTGTGTTGAACTTTATTTTAATGCTTTATTATTACGTTTATTTAAAAAATTATAATGATCGTTGTTTGGCTTTTTATATTTAACTATCTTAGAATATATGTTTATTTAGCTAAAACACTTATTCTTAATTTTTCGCTCTAAAAAATATTCTATAAATGGTATTGATAGTGAATAATGTTGATAAGCGGATATGTAAGTTTTGGTGAAATGTCTATTGAATGTATGATAACGATTTAGATTGCTATTGGTTTAATGTTTTTTTTTCTCAGTGAAATCTAATTTTTAGTGCGAAAGAATATTTGATGGATCAATATCAGCAAATCATACCTAGTCAGATAATGATAAAACTAAGCTTAAAGAAAAAAGCGTTCCTATTGCTAATCAGTAATAGACTCTAATGTCTTTTTTTAGGTGAATAGACATTACATCAATGAATATATGACATCATACTAACTTTCATGATTTGCATGAATAATTTCGTAAGATTTACATCGGACTCATCTTTACCTTTGGCCTATTTAATGTTATAATAAGTAGCGTACGGTAAAATATTGAAATGAGAAGTATATTTATATGAAAATAAAAAATAAAAGTATAGTATAGTGCGAAGAAATAGATTACATACTACGGTGTATTTCCTTGTTGATATTTTAATATAATATTTGTCTAGTAGAAGAAATTCTGTACGAAAACGGACAGTGTTACTATAGACTTGTTTATTTCATGAGAGATAGGCAACGAGACGAACTCAGAACATTTCAATCACAATAATGCTTTCTCAGATTTATTTGAGATGATAGCGTTTTATTCTCGATCGATTTCCGCTAGAGATACATGTAGAAGACAAGGACAAGAGTTTCTGATTCTTTTCTCTAAATGTATCATTGAGTGACAAATATAACTTATATAAGTTATTAAAAGAAAATCTGAAAATAAAAACGGAATGTTATAGCACATATTTTCATTCAATTAGAATTTACCACTGATCTAGAACATCACATAAGATATATTTATTGATCTAAAAACTTTTTGAAATAGAATGCAACTGAAAATAAATCTTCTCTTGCTTGTAACATATAAATTTACATTGAATTTATTATCGTTCGACTAACAGTCTTAAACCAAATAAATATTAGGATTCAGCTACCCACTGTTCTCATATAGAGATTAACAAAATTTATGTTAGATAACATGATTTGTAATATATTATCTCCGTGAATTATAACTACGTTTGCAGTGAATAAACATTACATAATGGTTTCAATGATTATATATATCATAACTGGAATATCTCGGAACGTATGACGTTATTGAACTAATGCTATATCAACTGGTGTCCTCTGTCAAAGTTGTTCCTATAATTGGTACAATGCAAATAGCCAATAATATGTTTAATCTCAAATTCTTTTGACAAGTCTGCATGTCCCCGGGATGCTCTCAAGGCATCACATTCCGTAAAATCGTATTTCGTTTTTCATTTTTTAAACACTTACCATCGTATCTTTAATCTAGCTGATTCTATTCATATGATATGAGTAATACCGAATAAAATGATTGGAGTGTAAATTCGAAAAATGTGGCAGTTATTTGTTTAACGATCACGTCGAAAGTTCGAATAATTTCTCATTCATCATTCTCTTTAGTGCAGTCAAGAGGAATCAGCAATTACATTTTAAATGTTTTCTAATGCGATAATAAAGTTGTGCGTGTGAAGATTGTTTTTTTTTCTTTTTATTCTTCAACATTATAGAAATACTGTGACTGTTAGTATGCTCGATTGAAAATTACAATTAATGGATAATAACAAACGGTAGTACAAAATAATGCATATTTTTTGCCATTGATCGACTCGCATTAGTGTGATAACAATATCTAAAGTTGAAATAAGGACAATTTTATAAATGATCTGACAATATTTTTCAGCATTGTTCGATGGTTTTGTTAAACACTTGCATCATTTATGATCTTTAATGCTTGATGAGGAATATGTGTATCCTTGAAGTTCTTCATCAAAATGATTGTTTTGCTTTTATTTATTATTTCTTACTTAGTAACGCTTTGTTTTTTTTCTTATAATGATGAATAATATTCTTAATCTAATTTGAAGAATGGTTTTAATTTTGGTAAATTTATAGTTTAAAGCACTTCATATCGTTTATGTTGCATTTAGTGTTTTATCTAGCCTGTAAGCTCATGGGAGCGGTGCCCCTACGAAGATTGAGTTAGCCTTTTCAGAGTATCAAATCACTTCTCCAGAAGAGAACATCTCTGTAAACACTGGTTGCATTATCCGTAGATTGTAGATATTTAAGCATTTTTTTTTCTAGAAAATCGTGATGTTATATTTCTATAAATAAAAAATGATGTAGAATTCAATCATTTCAGTTATTGTATTAATACACCCACGTGTCTAATAGCTAACACAACCTTTTTAAATATAGAACATATTCATAATGAAAATCATATATATTTTATTGATGTATGGAGTATTCGAAGTAAGAAAAGTGCTGAGAAACTTAGTATTACACATCACGAGATGAAAAAATGTTGCATGTTAAAAATGAATATAATAAATTCTGAACAGAAGCTTTTCTTTATATATTCTTCATTTATTTGTTGGAATGATGTTTTTTATTGTATCCCTTGGCATATAAAAAAATAAAATAAAATAAATTTGTATTTTAGATAGATCTGAATGGCTAATGTTTTTCTACAATTTTTAATTGATGTTGAAAATGGAGATTTAGATGCTGTTAAACGAAATATTCAAAATGGTATCGATTTAGACATACGCGATGAAGTAAGATCAAAACAAAACAAAAAATTCATTAAATTAAGTTGTTTTTCTCTTCGGATTTTTAGGATCAACAGACAGCACTTATTTTAGCAGCTCGGTGTAATCATTTTGAATGTGTAAAAGTTCTCCTTGAAGCTCATGCTGATGTTAATGCTGAGGATGTGGTAAGTGAAATATAAAAATCAATGAATTACCATAATTTTATAAGAACTAATTATCGAAGTTTATTATTTTCAATAATAAATACTATTTTTATGAAATATCATTTTTTTTTTGTTTAGGATCATTGGACAGCATTACTGAACGCATGTCAAAATGGAAATTTAGATATCGTATGTCTTCTTACTGAGAATGGTGCATATATTGAACATTGTGATTGTGTAAGTTTTATATCAAAGAAAAAAAATAGTTGATTTTTCTTTTTTTGAAATTAGGGACAATTTTCTCCATTGATGTGGGCCTCCTATCAAGGACATACAAGAGTTGTTGAATATTTATTAAGTTGTGGTACAAATGTTAATGCTCAGGATGAACATAGCATATCAAGTTTAAGTTGGGCATCAGGACGAAACCATGTTGATATTGTAGAATTATTACTTGCAGCTGGTGCTTCACCTAATTTATGTGATAAGAATAATACAAGTCCATTAATTTGGGCCAGTAGACGTGGTATGTATATACAGTGACTCCCAAAGTTATTCGATCAAGTTTATTTTCAATTTTTTTCCATTGTCTTAAGTGTTAATAAGGATTCATACAATGACTGGTGTACAGAATTTTATTTCTAAGAAGATTTTTCAAAAATAAAAATGATTTCTAATTTTCTAAGTATAGAGTCTCTGAAAATCCGAAATCTAAATATTTTATCGAGTCACCCAGAATGATAGAGAAAACTGCTCTCTACAAAATCATACATCTTTCTGCTGTTTACGACGTTTTTTTGATCAATATCCATCAACCTTACGGAATACACAAAAATAATGTGTCTATACGAAATAGCAGAAAAAAAAACAACTTTTGTGCCTTTCGTAAGATTGATATATCTCGGGCAAAAATACTATAGAGAGCTGGAAGAGATTTCATTTTGTAGAGAATTATTTGCTCTATAATACTGAGTAATTCAAATAGAATTCGAGAAGATGAGAAACTTGAGTTTCAATTTTTCACAAACTATCCCTGAAAAACTAGAAATCATCTTTTCTCGAAAAGTCTTGTTGAAAGTAAAACTCTCTACTTAAATTACTATTGGGATTCTTATTAGCATTAACGACAATGGAAAAAATGAAAAATAAATCTGGTAAAATGATTTTGGAAGGCACTGTATATGTAAGAATTCATATTTAATATGATTGTCTATTTTTTGTTTGTTCAGGTTATACAAGAATAGTCGATTTATTACTAAAACATAATGCTAATGTTAATAGTATTGGAATGAAAAACATGACAGCTCTCTTAGCTGCTACAAAAGGTGGTCATGCAGAAACTGCTCTTCGTCTTCTTGAAAATCGAACAATTGATATCAAAATACAAGATAAAGTGAAGTTATAGAAAAATTATTTTTCAACAAATTTATTTTAAATAACCATAATAGGATGGAGAAACACCATTAAGTCATGCGTGTGCTCAAGGTCTTACTGATGTTGTTGCCGAACTTGTTCAACGTCATGCATATGTTAACACAGTCGATAAAGTAAATTTCATAATTAATGTTTTTTGTTTTTTTTATTGCGTCAAACTTTCAATGATTATTTATATAGAATGGTGATCCAGTTCTTTTTGCTGCTGTGAAAGGTGGAAAAGAAGATTGTGTTTCTATTCTACTTGAAAATCATGCTGATATAAATGCCATTGGTGCTGTAAGTTTAATTTAAAAACAAAAGACTGATTCATCTTTTTTATTTTTTTATTTTTGAACAATAAAAAAAAATAACAGGAAAACAAGACAGCAATTTTGTGGGCTGTGGAACGAGGTCGATTGAATGTAGTCAAATATTTGCTTCAATATAATCCTGATGTTGAAGTATCAGGAGGCTCCGATGATGATACACCATTATTATTAGCTACGAAACGAAAACGTGTTGGTATTGTTTATGAACTTATCAAATATGGAGCTAAACTATCATCAGTTGATCAGGTTTGATAATTTTAAAATTCTATATATTGAAATTTATATAATCATTATTCTTTAGTTTGGTGATAATAGTTTACATATTGCACTGCGTAATCGTAGTAGAGATATTGCTGATATTCTACTTTCTAATCCAAGACATTCAAAATATTTGTATCGACCTAATAAACGTGGTGAAACACCTTACAAGATAGATGCTAGCCTTCAAAAGAGTATTCTTACAACTATTTTTGGACAACGTATGTATATTTTGATATAAAAACTTGGTGACTTAAGAATTTGTTTCTTTTTCTTTTTATTCTCTGAATAGGAACATTAAATTTGAACGATGATTCTATTCTTGGCTATGATCTATACTCATCAGCATTAGCCGAAATTTTAAGTGAACCATCACTTCGAACTCCAATTACTGTGGTAAATACGAAGTTATCTTTTAGATTTTTTTAATATTCTTAAATTGATCTGTAAGGGTTTATATGCCAAATGGGGTAGTGGAAAATCGGCTTTGTTAACCCATCTAAAAGGTAAATTTTATCTTGTCATAATTCATAAATCTATTTCGGTTTGTAATTTATTTTAGACGAAATGTACGGCTTTGCTCAATTAACAGGTACGTTCTCTATGTACAGAATGTTCCAAAAATCCGTCAGATTAAAAAAACGTGAATAACTCTTCAATAGCACAAGTGAGTTACATGAATTTTCTATAAACTCATTCGTTATTCCTTAAAGTTGTATTCAACATAGTTTAGATCAAATGCCTCTACCTATCGAAATAGTCTTATTGATAGTCGCATTTGAGTCATTCACAATTTTTAAAATGAACCAAACCAGTCAAATCTGGCACAGAGACAATAAATGAAGATGATACTCTAAACTTCCTATAGTAATGACAGAAGAAAAGTCGATGCAGTTCATGTTATTAGTGAAAGTGTATCAGCTAGCGATATGCGGAACCAATCTCAGTGGTATGAAAGAAAAAATGAAACTTTACCGAGACTGATGGTTAGAAAAGTTATTGGAACCAAAAGAAAATTAGTCCTGCACATCTCTAGTATCGATCGAAAATGTTCTGATTGTTTGAAATGTCATCTTCAATAGCATTCAGAATTATGACGGAACTCAGTAAGCGATTCAACAAAATCAAGTATCTTCGCATTTCGACAATAAAATACATCGGTTTCTAGACAGCATGTTCCTTAACATGTGAATTCAAAGAGATAATTCGTTTTGATCAATTACACACTCATTGAAGTTCGCATTTCTTGAACATGAAAGACAATATCTACAAAATGCCTCTTAAAGATTAAATTAAACTAATAAGAGGAATTGGTGTAATGATTTCAATAAAATTTCTCTCAATGTGGACATTTTGAACAATGAATACAAAACAAATTATTCAAAACAAAACTTTAAAGAAAGTCTAACAACATGATAGACAGCTTATGTACATGGCTTGAATTGTTGAAGAGTTATTCATGCTCTTTTGGAACATTCTGTACATAATTTTACGATATGAATACGAGCTATTTGTTTTAGATTTTCCCAGTATAAAATTTTCACCGTTGCTGGTCTCAGTTATTTTCATCATAGCATCAATTGTTAGTCTTGTTAGTGGTTTTTTAATTCATTATATTGTTGGTATATCACTTGGTGTGATATTAATGGTTTTTCCACTAGCATTTCTCTGTTTACTTAAATATCTTCTTCGTAACAAAGATTATGAATGGACAGCAAATGTAACACAATTTATAAACAAACGTTTAGAAATGTTACGATTTCTACTGCAAGTTATTTTTATTAATCCTTATGCACATCATCGCTTAAAAACAAATGATACAAATGATTGTAAAAAGATGAAGTAAGTTTCAAAACTCGCTCTATTCTCGTCAAACATGACTTATTTAATTGTTTAGATTTATTTTTACTGAATATGGAAAAGTTTCAACTGCTGATGGCGAAAAAGCTAGTGCAAATATGATTGCTGAACTTGCAACCAATGTCGAAGAAACATTTGGACTTGTAGCAACACGTCTTTGTCGTGCACTTCATTCCAAAAGTTTGTTTCGAAAACAAAAAAACCTGATTTGATGATTATATCTGTTGATTAATTAGATTTAAGTCATCATCGATTTCGATATCTATGTTGCATACCGGCATTTATTTTTGTTGCTATTCAAATTGTACTTGCTTTAGTTCTAAGCATCCTAATATTGGTGAAAGGTTAGATTTTATTATGTGCAATTATTGAATTATGTTCGATATTACTCTAGGTATTCCATCAAGTCATCATTCAGTCAATACAATTTATATTTTACTCATAAGTACATTAGCTATTTCGATTGCATTTAGTTTCGCTACATGGCTTCGAATGTTAATGGTATTGATAAAGTCACCTAAATCAAAAATTATAAAATTTTCAGATCATTCATCACGTTTGAATGAAAGTTCTCTTTATCGACTTAGAAAAGAAGTACATCATTTTCAATAAATGTTGTAAAATAAAATTCTTTTTTTCCACATAAGGTTAGCCGATTGTCATATATTATCAAAACAGTTGAAGCTTTTTTAAGTATTAATACTCGTCTTGTTGTTCTTATTGATGGTTTAGATGTTTGTGAACAGCAACGTATCCTTCAAATACTCGATGTAAATAAAATATGAATTTATGCTATTATTATTATTATTATTGTTGTTGTCTTTATTGTAGCAAGTACATGTACTTTTGACAAAAGAAAATGATCCATTTGTTACATTGATTGTCTGTGATCCACATAAAATGATTCAAGATTCGAAACCAATAATGGCAATGTCACAATCAACAAATCAACATTCAACTTTTGATTTTGGTGTTAATGTTCATGATTATCTACTATCGATTATTCAACTTCCAATCTATTTACAACTAAATTTAAGTAAAACAAAACAATTAAAAAAAAATGCTGATGGCTTTCCAAAAAGAAGACTAACGGTTAGTGAAAATTTTGGTTTTCTGCTTCTTCTTTTAGATTAGAGACGAGCAGATAGAGATATCAGCTGATCGACTAAGTCGTCGCCGCTACACGAGGGCCTTAGGTTAGACTCGGATCCGATGAACTCTAGCCGTGTGAGAAATGTGTAGGGTGCACTAATCACTGAATACAAAAGAAACTGAAAAAAAATATCTCGTATCTTGAAGGTTGCTATCCAATACCGATTAAAAAATTTCATTGAGAGTACCCAAGTACGGTTTGACCCAGTTTGGATTCGAAAATTTTAGACCCGATGGACTCTGGTCACCGATGTGACACTAAATAGATATTTGATTTTTAAAAACTTTCAACGTTCCAAAACAGTTTTTGGAGATGTTACCTTCTGATTTCTTGTCCATATCTTCGCTACCATCGTTTTCTCCCTTCTTCATTTCAAAACCACTTGAAATTAGGAAATTTTTAAAAAATTCATCGAAAATTTTTAACCGCCGTCGCCGATCAATGCATCGGCTTACACTTCTATGTGCACAGTAGGGTAGAACAAGGGTTGGAAAATTTTTCTCAGTCAGGGTATGGAAAAAGCTTACCCAGCACATCTCTATTTTAGATATAATCAGAAAGAAAACTTTTTTTTTCAGACTCTCACTAATGGTACATCAGTTCTCGATGTAAGTGCAAAACCAATGACAGCCAAGAAACTTTCAAAAAATAAACGACGTCGACAACGACGAGATACATTACCAAATACTAAACCAGTACGATAAACTCGCTAGCATTAGTTTTGTATTCATGCTATTTGTCCCTTGTTTATTCGTCAGGTATCAACATCAGAGTTGACTCATCAATTACTTCAATCTGATTACTTTCTTGATATAAATCCGCGAATACTTCAACGATTGATTAATATAATTGCTATGACGGGTCGACTCTTACGTGCTAATCAAGTATTATTCAGTTGGAAACGTCTTGGATGTTGGTCATATTTAGTAGAACAATGGCCATATCGTATTTCTTGGATTGTTGTATATTATGAAGATCATGAACAAGATTATGCAGAAGATACTGAACTCAAAACTCTCTATAATAAGTTCGTTTGAAATATTCTATTTTGCATATTTTTATTCTTCTTAATGTTTGTTTTTTTTTGTCTCTTTAGAATTAAACCATTTATTCCAATAACGAATGATCCTCTTTTAGAACTTGACCGTAGTGCACGTAAATTTGAACTTTGTATAGAACAAAGTGAACCTATTTTGAATGTTACTGATTTAAAACAATTTCTACCATGTACATGTAATCTCGACCCATATTTGAATAAATTAATTCGAGGTATAATCCTTTTCTGAGAGATTTTTTTCTAAGTTTTATTCATTATATAGAATCTGTAGCCTATTTTTACATGAATAATACAGATGAAAATGGTTTTATTCATGGTGATCCATCGCGTTTTTTTTCTCCTCGTGATTCTACGTAAGTAACGAACTAAATAAAAAATTGTTAAATAGTAGATTCTTATTTCATGATTTTGTTCAGAAAGTCTTATTACTGCCATTATTATAAATGGTAATATTATTAAAGTTTAGCATCATTTTCAGCATTGCATGAACAATGCTTTCTTTTTACTCAATTTTTGAAACTTTCCTTTCATTTCCTTTATGAATATCTCTTACTATATTATTCTAGGTTCACTGGATATGGTGGCTTTTGTCCACAAGCAGTAACATCACGACATCAAGGCGAATATTATCCAAAATTCAAGCTGCCTGGAGCGGACTTTACAGGTGATTGAAAATCATTGCTAAAATTTTGTTTAATCGTTCGTTTTCTGGAACTCATATACATATTCGAAGACAACAGTGAGTGAAAGTTTTGCTGCTCATCATGGCTCCGTGACAGACCTTCGCAACTGGTTTGATCATTGATAATGCTTTCCATAACAATCGAGAATAACAGGCGTTGGATTTCTTTTTCAGAGTTCTTTAGCAACGAAAAAAGACGTTGAATGATATTAATGACAAGACTTAAACATTTCAAAACCTTTCTCGAAATTTCAATAGCTGGAATACGTTTTCGAATTTTCCAAATACTGCACTTTTGTATGTTTGCGTAGATAAAAATTGATATTCAAAATGCCCAGGATGATCTGCAGTGATGCACTGGGTTACCACAAATATCATATAACCATCATAAAAAACATAAATTGATCAAGCGATAACTTTCGGAAGTAATCAATATCAGTATTTGTGAACTTATCTATATATATAATAGTGCATTGATACCTGAAGTAAATACAGTGAAAATGGGCAACAGGCTTCTTTACTAGTTAAATCAATCGTTAGAATAATAATGCGTGATCGGATTGTTTTTAGACAAGATATTTGTTCAGTGATGACCTGTTAGAAAGTATTTCTGATGAGTCAAAAGCTATGAGTTTGAATGCACTTTTTAAATATGCGAGAGCAGTGAAATAAGATTTGAAAAGCCCAAAAAAAAATAGTTTGAACGGAAACTTTTTTGTATTTGTACTGTTGTGATTTGAAATTAAAAATTGAAATCTTTATTTATATATCAGCTTGTAGATCAGAAGCTACCCTACACAACGCACTACTTTTTGTCTTCCGACAACACATCTCAATATTCATTTTTCTTAAATAATCATTTTTGAAAAATCGACGACCGTTTTAGGTTGAAAGGTTTTGTAGAGAAATGTCCATTATATAAAACGATCGACTCCGACAGTTTTTAGCATGTTCAAAAGTGACTTCTACTGTAAACAAAAACCTGTTGGCTTCTCATTAAATATAATTTTTCAGGCCTCTCAAAAAGTTCCTCACTACTCTTGAGCAAAACTAGACAAAATTTGTACGCCAATATTCGAAAAAAGTATCCTAACTCATAGTTATACGCACTCGTTGGAAATACATTCTAGCGAGTGAAAAGTAAACAATCATCTTGTCCACAAACTTTCAGATCGTCCGCTAACAATGTTAAATTAAGAAAAATGGAATACAAAAAAAGGAAATCTTGGAAAACAATTATAGTCAGCAAGAAATTTTGCAATTTATGTATTTTGTATTAGTATAATGAGGCTAATTAACACATGTTAATTGCACATGTTATCTCCAAAGGCGTTGCGCTAACAAGCGTTTTTCTATGTAGGAGGTCCATATCGTCCAAATACACAAATACCAATGAGAAAACGAGATGATAGTGATGATAATCATATCCGAACGTCGCCTATTTCATCGTCATCAGTACCTACTACACAGCCAATAGCTGAACAACAAAAACAAATTTTATCGAATAATGTTAAAGTATGATTTTTTTTGTTTTTGTTGAACAAAAATTATATTCTAGAAGTTTTCTGTTTTAAATAAAACAGTTGGATTTATCGCCGCCTCTAAGTCAGATGACAGTTAATGATATTTGTGATTGTTTAAAGAATGATGTTATCGGTTTGAAACCAACAATGATACCAATCTATATTCAAGATATAAATGAAAATAATATTAGTGGTCGAGTTTTAATAACATGTGAACTTGATGAACTTAAACAAGTATAAATATTAAAAAAAACTATATTCATATGATTGAATTTTCTTTTATTAAGATTCTTTCCATGACTTTCGGTGATTGGGTACTTTTTAGTAATTGGGTACGAACAAAACGAGAAGAAGAACAGTAAGATTTCCGATATAAATTCAAAAAAGAACTTCTATACCTATTTTTTAGACGTTCTCGATTTCATCTACAGTCACAATATACACCATCAACTAGTAATAATGATCATCGAAACCTATCAAACGATGATCCTTTTAATGAATATGAATTTCATTCTGAAAATGGTGTATTTAGTGCTGCACTTAATCGATTATTTTCTAACACATTACCAAATAAAACAAGCAATTCTACTGATGAAGTACTTGTGTATGATAATAATAAAGTATCATTTGTTTCAGTACCAAAAAATGTCACATTTCTCATTCCATCGGGTCTATCTGGTATAACTTCAAATGATAGTACATTCAGTGCTATCGAATCAACAATACGAACAACTACTCATATTAAAGATATATTTCCAGTGAAAGCTTCATCAGAATCTCAAAGCATAACAAAAGATGAGACAGATATGGTTACTTCTTCTTCATCTCCGAACTCTGTAACAAATACATTATTATTCGATAAAGAAAATGAACAAGAAATCATTAAGAGTGTCAATGAAGAAAGTCATTTACTGATGAATGATTATTTTAATGATAAATGAATGAACAAAAAAAAACAGAATGTGCGATTAATATTTAATCAATTGCTTTTAATTTTATATTAGTTGGGATACATTCTATTTTATACAGATCTATATTAATCGTTGTTTTGTACAAATATATCTATATTTATTTATCTGATTTTTTTATTTTTATCTTTTTTGCTGCTTTATTTTTGTAATCAGTCAGTAATTTACTGTTCATAAATGAATAATAAATAAAATAAATACAATAAGTAGTACTATAGATGGCACAGCCACAAGACCTTGCGTAGATTCAAGTCTAATCTAGATTCTTGCTTCGTAGGCTATGGTAGGTTTAAACACTTTTCTCTTTCCATCAGATTTATAGATTGGAGTAGCGCATCACAATCCTTTTACAAACGTCAATATTTATTGTCGGTTAATTATAATACTGCCTTAGTCAAACAGACTTAGAAAATATTTTTGAGGAAAAATAGAATGTTATATAAGTAAATATTGGATCGTAGATCGACAATGATTTGAAGGAGGAGTTTTTCATTACAAGTAAAAAAGAATTCTAGGAACAGACTAAGTCAGATTAAGTAGAATTTGTCGAAATTTCTCTTTCGTCTTCGATGGCTAAAATCAAATGCCTATACAACATTTTCAACAATGAACAAATTCATAATGCAATATCTTTTCTGTGAGCCTTTCTGCTTCACCATTAAACTTCTTTTTTTCCCGTAAAGTAGATTAGAAACTCTTATTTCGAAATTCGTATGTTTTTGTTTTCTAATCGGCATCACTGTTATACGCTCAGAAACATGAGTTCAACAAAACAAAGCACTAACCGTATTTCATCAAAGTGGCATATAAAAACTAGTGTTCTCTCATTATTAACTTTCAGATGGACATCTCGTTAAAAAAAAAATGTCGAGTCTACGTTTGTGTTAACTTCCGCTGACAGTCTGTTTATTTTTTGAAAAACAACACGAAGAAAAACTAAACGATCGCAATCATAGCAACCACTGCTTCTTTTTTCTTTAACAAGGCGCCTTCATTAACTAACACACTTCCATCCTTGACATAAGACTGTGTTTATGGTTCCGACCAAATGCATAATATACCATTGCTATATGGATATAGAATTAACATATGTTTGTTTTAAGATATCACAATGTACTAAATCTAATATCACATGTTCTTTAACATCTTCTAGCTTATATGTTCCTAATGGAACAATCTTTCTAATTATGTATTGACCAGAGCCTAGTGAGATTGAAAGTTCTTTCTGTTTTCGTCGTGTATTAAACTACACTCTTTTGTAGCATTTGAATCTAGATATTGATGAACAATGTCACATTGTTGAATTAATTGATTAATTTATTGCATACGAAATATGATACTATTTTGTTTGTCATCATTAATAAGATGTATTAATTCATCACCTGATAACTTCATTTCTACACCATATACCGTATAAAATGGACTTTTGTCTGTGATATGATGTTATTGGTCTCTGCATGCGAATGATGCACAATTAACACTAGAATCAATACGTTTTCCTGCCTATGAGTAGTACCAAATAATATTGATATCCTCATTCAAATAGAACATTTCAATAAGAGATAAAACATCTTTAATCAGCAATCGTTTTCGATTAATGATTTTTCATTATATCTTCTCGGATGCTTCTACATAATTCACACAATATCTTATCCACATTCATTGCTTTGTCTTTAGAGACCAAAAAAATTAATGTATGAACAAAGTAATTAGTGAATGGAGCACATGTATTCGCAGAAGAACTATGTATCCATTTAAAAATGTAGTTCTTCTTCAGATTGACGACGCTTTATACAATAGCTGATCTAACTAACAGACCATATAAAAGAATGCAGGTGTTGCGGTATTGCTGATTTTGAGAAGTACCGAAAATATTGTTTTCTAGGTTAACATTGTAATAGATATATATTGTTTACTTTGTATATTATACTTCGGTTTTTATCCAGGTCAACGATAACTTTCACTTATTAGTTTGATTGACAAAGGAGAACAACAAAAAGTGAGCGTGACAATATCAAAGAGTGTCAAGGTGATCTTGTTGTCGACCTGAGACAGCAATTACGCTTTATAGCGAACTAATAATGTGAAATGAATGCTGAAGAAGTTGATGATCATAACTACTGTTACTCTTTGAATGGAATTTAAACAAAAATTCAATGATTATTTTCTTCATTAGACAATTACTATGATTAGAACTATAATGATCTGAAGTTGATGATTAAAGATACATACATGGTAAAAATAAAAATGTTTCATTGTTCGACTAGTAGCGTCCTCTATCAAAACCTTTCTTTCATTTTTCTTTCACTTTTTATCAGATTTTTTGAAGGGATCGAATAAACGACTCATAATTGGTTAATATTTAAATAATAATCAAATCATTTTACACAATTTTTATTTTTAACTAATATCTTATGTTACATTGGCAGATGACAAACATGATAAGACGATCAGAAAGAGAGAGACGGAAAAAAAGAATAAACAAACAAATGAGAATAGAAAAGAGAATGGGAGAGGGACTGTTAGTTCATTCATCCTTCAGATTTTCATTGGCAATTATCATATGTTTGTGCTTATATTTATATATTTTTTTATTTTTGAACGATGATATAATATTTTGTTTGAATTCACATAAAAATTTTCAATAATTAAATCATTTATTATTTTCTTTTAGTTCTAGGAAAAAAAACCTTTAACATCAAAAACTCCCCTTCCTAAAAAAAAAACGAATAACAACAAACGCAATAATATACAATGAGCAATGAGTAATGAATTTTTGTTTTTTTCTTTTTTTTATTTAAATTTTTTTCTAAACATTATTTTATAGTCAAGATACAACATCGTCGCAACAACAAGTACGCGGCGGTACCTATGAAAACTCAAAATATCAGAATAATAACAATGAAAACGGTACTAATGATAATAACTATGCCGGTGGATACAGTCGTGCAGGAGTTCCTCAACAACAACAACAACCTTCTACACAAGTCTATCGACCTCCTCACTTACAGAATCGAATGAATATGCAAAAGTAAATGATTAAAATGTTCGTATTAAATTTAGTTTTTGTTTTTTTGCTTTAGTGGCAATTATGCTAATAATGGGAATATGTCTGGTGGTCATCGAGGGTCAGCTAATAGTGGTTCATCATCTTCACACCAAAATTATGGTAATAATTATAGTGGTGGTAATTCTCATCCTTCTTCACAACATCCCTATTATGGTCAAATCCCACCTCAACAACAAATGTATCATCAACCTATGTCAAATACGTATCAACAAATGGAACAAATACCACGTCCCATAAATACGTCACAACCACTTGACAATCGAAATTATGGTCAACCTCCACAAAATCAAATGCCAGTGCAAAATCGATCGTAAGTTTGTTTCTGCTTTTTCTTTTGTTTTTGTTTGTTATTTATAATTTCCTGTCATCATAGATTCACTGATGCATCACAACTTCCACAGACTTTTACTCGTCAAGGTTCGAGTGGTAGTGGTCGTGGTAGTGATGGTCAACAATCATCAACAAGTGGTCGTTGGGATGCTATTTTAGCTGAACGACAAACGTCAAATTATAATAGTGGTAATAGTAACAATCAGAATCGTGGAGGAAATGGTTTTTCTAATAATTATAATAATCGAAATGCTCGTGATAATAGTGGTAGTAGTTACAGTGGGCAACGTGATAATAATTTTGGTCGACGTGATTATGATTCTCATAAACCATATCATTCACATGTTGGCGGTCAGTCAAGTGATGCAGTCGGTAACGATTGGAATACACCACTACCAGCGAATGCTAATCTTGAAAGGTAAAAATTCAACTAACAAAGAAACCTCTTTAGATGTCCTTTCCCATTTTCAATGACTTTTTCTTGCCTATAGATATTATATAGTGTTCTAATGAAAATTTTAAAAGGATTTAAGTTCCAAATTTTCACTTGAAACTTTGTGCATATACAGAACTCAATTAGGCTAGATGCTATACAAAAATAACTCACTAGTTTTAAATAGAGTCTCTTCGAGATATGAAACTTTCAAGACATAGATCCTTTTCCATGGATACTGTGTACACAATATGGATTTTTTGAAAGGTTCATATTTCGAAGAGACTTCATTCAAAACTTCTGAATATTTTATAGTAGCTAGCCTAGTTAATTTCTCTATACACACAAATTTTCAGATCAAAATTTGAAAATCTGGGCTCCTACATAAACATATTAAAAGTTCAATAACTTAGGAAGAAACCACTCGAGATGATAACTTATGTTTGAGATAAGACTCCAGTCATTACGTAGAACCTGTTTAGACTAGAAGAAACGTAGAAGGATTCTTCCTCATGCGTTACTCTTTTAAAATTATGGTTGTTACACTGAACTTTTTATCTTTGGCACGGTATTTCTAAAAAAGAAATCATATAATCGAGTTTAGACCTGAAAATTTGCTCATAGACAACTCATACAGTTATTAGAATCTTCTCGAGATATCAAATCCTTGAAAAAACAGATTTTCTGTTATTTTGGTAGAATATCATAGTTTGTTGCGAATTTGATACGTCGAAAAGAGACCACTCTTTTTGACTGAAATTTTTAGGAGATTCTAATAACTGTAAGAGCTGTCTGTGAGCAAAGTTTTAGGTCAAAATTTGTTTGTCTGTTTTTTTTTTGTCATAAATACTTTGCCAAAGGCAAAAAATACAGTCAAATGCAATTCCCATTCTTCACTTGGATTTGACTTGATTTTGGTTTCAAAAAAATTACCATCGAATTACTAATTTATGTAAGTATGTTTCCTATAAGTAATTCTGCAACAACCAAATTCAGTCGAAGCCAACTCCAATTTTAGTCAAATCCAAATTCGATTTCAGTCAAATTTAAGAAATGGATTGACTGCATCCCTGAGTGTAACGGTGATAACTTCAAAAGGGTAATGCATGGGAAAGAATCGTTGAAGGTTGCTTCTAGTCT